GCTCACCCGCACACGTGGTTGTTTGCTTCGACGCTGCCATGCCTCTCCACCGTCACGTCACTGGTGCATTAGAAACAGGAATAACGAGCGGCCTTGTGCGGCCACCTGCGTGCGGCAGGTGCAGCGTCGCTGCCGCCAGATCGACTTCGTGACCGTGAAGGGCAGCACCCAGCCCATGGGACTGTACACCTACGATGTATCCACCGAGCTCATACCCGACGCCGACATGTCGGCTTCCGCGTCCCCAGAGGCGGAAGAGTACGTGACGTACTCCGGACGTCAGTATGGGTGCGAGTGGGAGGAGCACCCCGACCTGCTGACGTCATGGGGCCTGACGGAGGAGTTTCTGGAGAAGTTCTCGGAGGGGTTCATGGAGTACCTGAACGGCAACTGGGAGAGGGCGGTGGCCATCCTGGAGGTCTGCAGGACGCAGCGGAGGACGCTGAAGTCGGAGGTCGTGGAGGACGGCCCAAGCGTCACGCTGCTGAACTACATGGCGACCATGAACAACCGCAGCCCCTCAGACTGGAGAGGGTATCGAGAGCTGACGGAAAAGTAGGGTGACTCCAGGCCAAGGGGGTGGGACCGGCGCTCGAGGCAGCTTCCTGCAAGCTTCGTTAATGAAGCTTGCAGGGCAGCAATATCACTACTCTGTGGATCGGGACTCTCCCGATGTGGTTGCGAATGCTGACACGTTGAAAGCGAGAGGCGAAGGGGGATGCCGCACAGGATAGGCAGAGGCGTTGTCATCTTGTGACCGAAAGTACGGGAATGGATGTAGAATGCCTTGTGGCGCGGTTACGTATGATGGGGAAGCGGCGCAGCGCAGCAAGTTCGCATGGTTTGCTGCTAGTCGCAGGGCTGGCAAGCAGTAGGGAGTGCCAAGGCGGGACATAACGACGACGCACCGGGTTTAACGTGCGATCGCAACAGGAGGGCGTCCGGGCTGTTTCTTTGTGAACATAGAAAGCGGAAAGCTTTTGTCAGGCTCCCGGCTGTAGTTCGGAAGCTGGCATCGGGAGTAGAGCGCATAGTACGCAAGCAGTAGAAAAGGCATGATTTGTGGCTTTTGGCAGAGTGATCCGCAAGTCCATGTTGTTTTGAAAACCACCGGGGTGGCAACCTATGTTGTATTCGATGCGTTGTATATCACTATTGCTCGGCAGGTGAGGAGGCCTGCCCCTGTAGATGCGGTATGAGTGTTTGAGATGTGCACACAGCACGCTCCATCAATTGTTGGTCACTAGAGTCCCAATCTCTGGGGACGTCCCCGGATTTTCCCGGGGACGGGGTGTGGGGACGTCACCGACCTGGGTTGGGGACGTCGCCACCTAGAGGACGGTTTCCGTCCCCAGAGTCCCCGCCACTGGACGTCACCAGGCGTCCCCGAAATCCGTCCCCGCCTGGCAGAGGCCTCACGTCCCCGGCATCCCCATAACCCCACGTCGCCAGGCGTCGCCGAATTTTGTGGCTCGGTGGCCACCAGCGAAGCGTCCCCGCGTCCCCACGTCCCCACCAAGGTTGCGGGCCTCAAGGGCCCCCCAGGGGGGGCGGGGGGACGTGCGTCCCCGCGTCTCCACGTCCCCACCGGGGTTGTGGGCCTCAAGGGCCCCCTAGGGGGGGCGGGGGGACGTGCGTCCCCGCGTCCCCGCGTCCCCACGTCCCCACCGGGGTTGCGGGCCTCAAGGGCCCCCTGGGGGGGGCGGGGGGACGTGCGTCCCTGCGTCCCCGCGTCCCCACGTCCCCACCGGGGTGGCGGGCCTCAAGGGCCCCCAGGGGGGTGGGGGGACGTGCGTCCCCGCGTCCCCACGTCCCAACCGGGGTTGCGGGCCTCAAGGGCCACCCAGGGGGTGGGGGGACGTGCCCACGGGCCCGGTGGGGACACGGGGACGCGGGGACGCACGTTCCCCCGCCCCCCCGGGGGGGCCCTTGAGGCCCCTGGCTTCAGTGGGGACGCCCGGCGACGTGGGGCCATGGGGACGCGGGGGACGGCATTGTGCCATCGGGCGGTGACGCATTCTGGGGACGCCTGGGGACGTGGGTGTTTGGGGATGCTGGGAACGGTATCACTTTGCGCGCTGGGGATGGAAGTCGGGGACGGGCCCCGCTTGCCCTGCTCTTTTGGGGGCGTCCCCGGGGACGTCCCCAGAGGTTGGGCCTTTTCTCTTGTTGGTATATTCTGCAAACATGTGTGTATTTTGGTTATGCTGCCATGCCAATTATTCGTGCCAATCACCAACTCTTCCAGCTCAGGCGGGCATTGGCCAGCCTTAATAGAGTCAAAGAGCGCTCGGTGTTGCCTGGGCCTTGATCGCACAACACTCGAATCTCGAAGTTGATGGACAATTTCTGCAATTGCAGCAACTATTTTCTCAGCGCAAGGATAAGAAAAATAATTCATCAAATTAGTGTTCCTACTGTTCATAATAATAACGGATCAAAGGATTCACACACCAATGATTGCTCTACGATGCCAACGTCAATGCGCTAGATGTTCAAGGTTTTGCGCATTCCATTTGGAAGGTGTCTCAGAATTTATATATATTTCTGAGGAAGCGTTCTGTTCAGGCCATAAGGGCGGGTTTTGCTTGTTGGACGCACGTCCAAACAGTACATTCAAAAGCCAAGTGTCAATGATATCCATCGCCGCTTTACATCGATATTGTCATCCTTCAAGTCGAGGTGCCCATTAAACAGTACTTATTTGCTTCCCAGTGCTCAATACTGAACATTGCAACGACTAGTACCTGAATCTGCCTAACGTTAAACGCTTGACTCTAAACTAAGAAATGCAGTCCCAGAAATGGAAATTACAGTTGTCATTGCTCAAAAATTGCAAACCCGCATAGGAACCACCCACACCATTCATAGCGTCCCTTTTCAATACCAACAGGCCGATGCCCAATGACCGACTTGGTAGGTACCTCGGCGCCCATGCTACCGGGAATCCAGGCAAGCATGGGGGACATGTTGTGAGACGCCTTGGCACTGTGAACGAGAATGGACGCAGCGCTAGAAGCTAATGGAGACTCAGCCAGAAGACAAACTCGGGCACACAGACTGTTGGTCTTGTGGAAAAATACCTCGATTTTGATGATGCAGTATATGGTCGGTGAGTTGGGCCCCATCAGCACTCGAGGACTGTGAAGCATTGGGTAGGAATGACGCATCGGTACGTTAGAGCCACGTTCGCCAGGTATTCACTCATTTTTTCACTCATGGGTTTGTCGCTCAGGCAATGAGAATCAATCCCTATTCCGGATGCATTCCAAAGCCAATAGTATCACTGACAATGCATTTCCGAATCAAGTGTGCAGAGTCGCGAACTCGGCGTCCCCTTGCAGGCTGGGCGATCGATTGCATGCTGCCTCGTTCGATGCTGCGCCTTCGTTCGAAGGAGGCAACACTGGCTGCTTCCCAAGGGCTGGATTCGGCAATTCACGTTTTGGCTTGCAGGGGTACAAGGAGGCAGGCAGCGACGGGCGAACAACTACAGAAAGTACAACACATTTAGTGGCCCGACCCAACCACGGAAAGCTTGCAAACAGAGTCTTTGAATTGTTTCGAATAGCTCAAATGGAACAATTGGCATGACAGGGCCTGCGAGCATCCAGTGACCAACAGTAATCTTCTTTGCAATGGCTGACTTCTGAATGCAATAATTTTCGACAAATTAAATTTGCGATTTCCAAATTTTGGAAATGTGCATGTAAATTCAAGGCCTAAAGAAACTGATAGGCTCTGGCATGGAATTTTTCTGCCACATAATCATGTGACGTGAAGGGGTCAGCAAGCTCATCTCAGTGCTTGCTGGAAACATAGCAAGGCGGAGGAGTAAACAGGCACGCTGTTGCAACAACAGGAATGGACTGCTGAGCGTGAAGCAGTACATGGCACTGGGGACGCCTTTGGCAGAGTTTTCAGAAGCACGCAAACCCTGTCCATGCCGGATCGTCAAAGGCTGCTTAGGATGCCTGTGACATGGAATCCGAACTTCGGACATTTTCTATGACAGAACATCACACTTGGCTTTCGTACATCCAACCCGCCTTGGCTGGCCATCTAGCAGCCTCCGAAGCCTGCAATCCCTGTACTAAGGGCTGTGCGCAGTGCCCAGGTGCGGACCTGATCGTCTCGTGTGCCATCAAAAATACACTACTTTGGGACGGAAGGCACGCAAGATGAGGCCCTCGGGGGCAATAGTGCAACAAGCTAGAACGAGGGTTGTGTGGCCTTACCGCACATTACTGCGTCTCTCGCCCATACTGAGGAGCACTTGTGGGACAAATCCAAAACTTCGTTTGCCCTCGTTACTAGGAATCCGCATTAGTGTTGCCCTTCTCGGGGTCACGTGGGAAAACGGTGTGGAGGGGTGGTGGCCAGACAGAAATGGTCGTGGCCGTCAAAATGATACTTTACCATTGCTACGTCCATACCAACGGGTCCACCAGGTAGACTCCCCTGACAGGAAGAGGAACATACAATAGCCATGGAAACGGAAAGACCAGCAAAGAAAATGCCCAAACGACAAACAGGTTAAAACATATCACTGGTAGAAAACGCCATGTTTGCGATGCCAGCTGCGATGCCATTTTGACACAAATGGATGCTATCACAGCGATTGCGATGGCATGAAAGGGGCTGTGATGGCATCAATTTCTGTCAAATGGCAACGCAGTTGGCATCGCAAACAGGCTGTTTTATGCATGCACGCGCGTGCACACGCGCCAACGGGCGTCCCGTGGACCCAGGCATCCGTAGATGGCCGCACCGTATCTTTTGAGGCTCCGTGGATTGTATTTGTGCAGTACCTCCCGCTTGGAGTGGTGTCTGGCCCGGGACACCATGCCCACCCATCGCCGGATGACCCTTGTCTTCCAGAAGTGCCCCTTGCGTAGATCCTGCCCCACACGTCCCGCCCTTACAAGCGGGGGCGGGAGGCCGGACTAGCAGAATGCAGGCCCTCTGCGCCACCAGGGCGAGGTTGACGACGGTCGGCCATGGCCACCTACGCGCCCAATACGCCCATCGAGCTGATCACGGTGGACCTGTCCAAGCCGGCCTCGGAGCAGAGCCCGCCGCTGCACAACCGATGGCACCCTGACATCCCCGCGGTCGCGGAGGTCAAGACGGGCACGCTCTTCCGAGCGGAGTCCATTGATTGGTGCGCCGCCGCGCAACCACCGCTGCCGACTCGCCGAACGCCATCTGCGCTCCCTTGCCACGGGCCACGGTTACCTGTCGCGCCAGTCGCCTGCCGGGCTCCGACACTCGTCTCGAGACGGCAATGCCCTGCAGGGCGTGGATAGTATTGGCAAATAATTGGCTCGCGACTTGTCGTTCGTAACACGGCACCCTTCGTTGCCTCCGTTGGAAACCAATGGCATCTGTTGCTCCCCGCTCCCCTGGCCCCAAGTCCCCCCCTGTGAAACCGTTCGTTGCTTTCGGTCGACCAGGACGGGCGGCCAGATCCTCAACAACGACAGCGCGGACGACGTCGCCAACGTGGAACTGTCCCGGTGCCACCACCTGACGGGGCCCATCCGCGTGGTGGACGTGGAGTCCGGCGAGCCCGCCATGCCGGGCGACCTGCTGGTGGTGGAGCTGTGCGACATCGGGCCGCTGCGCGGCCACGAGTGGGGCTACACGGGCATCTTCTCCAAGGACAACGGCGGCGGCTTCCTGACCGATCACTTCCCGGAGGCCGCCAAGGCGATCTGGGACTTCACGGGGAGGATGGCTTCCTCGAGGCACATCCCTGGCGTGGAGTTCCCCGGACTGATCCACCCCGGGCTGATCGGCACGGCGCCCTCTCACGAGCTGCTGGAGATCTGGAACGCGCGGGAGGGCGAGCTGGTGGCCAACGGCCCGGAGGCGCTGACGCTGGGCAAGCACCTGCACACCCGGCCACTGGCGTGCCTACCCGAGCCCAAGAACGCGCTGCTGGGGGCGGTCAAGGAGGGGGATCCGGCGTACGAGAAGATGGCGGCGGAGGCAGCCAGGACGATTCCCGGTAGGGAGCACGGCGGGAACTGCGACATCAAGAACCTGACCATCGGGTCCAAGGTGTACCTGCCGGTGTTCGTTGAAGGGGCGAACCTGAGTTATGGGGACATCCATTTTTCCCAGGGTGACGGCGAGGTGTCGTTCTGCGGCGCGATCGAAATGTCCGGGTACATGGTCATGAAGACGGAGATCATAAGGGGCGGTGCGAGCAAGTATCTCAAGCCCATCGGACCCTCCCCGCTGAACGTCTTCCCGCTGTTCGAGATCAGCCCCCTGGAGCCCCTGTTTTCCGAGTGGCTTGTGTTTGAGGGCCAGTCGGTGGACGAGGAAGGCAAGCAGCACTTCTTGGATGCCTCCATCGCATACAAGCGTTGTGTGCTGCACGCCATAAACTACCTCTCGCAATTTGGCTGGTCCAAGCAGCAGATTTACCTTTTGCTGTCTTGCTGCCCGTGCGAAGGGCGGATATCTGGCATCGTCGATGTGCCCAACTGCTGTTGCACGCTGGCGGTGCCTACACGGATTTTCAAGGACGTGGATGTGCGCCCAAGCAAGGATGGTCCCCCAGTCGGGCCACAGCTCGTTACACGGGCAGACTGTGCAACATGAGGGCTGTGAGAACTGAGTTGTGCAGGTTGAGGTCTGGTTGTAAGGATGGAAGGCTCCAGCATTCTTCTTATTCTTTGCTTCCGCCTTGGGGTGTTGTGCAGCCTTGCACATTTGACGTCTCCACTGCTTGCAAGTGCTTACTGCATTGCTGGAAGGCTCGCAAGGCAATTTCGATGTTGGGAATAGGGCCTTTGTGCAATTGACTGGGTTGTATGATAACTTCTGTACAAAACTTGGGGCATTAGCATGGGAAACGAATGGCACCAGGGCAGTCACTCTTACACTTGTCTTTAGCTGCATGGCCTCTTGGGGGAAAGAATTTACAATCGCTAAAATTGCTTATGAGTGGGAATGCATCTTGCAGTTTTCCTGTGTGACCTATCGAGGGTGGAGCACAAGAGGCAAATGGGTGAACAATGTTGGATTTGGGGTTTAACCCCTTTGTTTCTTGTGGTGACCTGTCCTAATATGCTAACTTGTGTAAGATTGTACTTGTAAGGGTTCTGTTGTAATGTACACGCGATTGTGAGTTAATGGCTGTGAGAGATCCAGAGTAAAGCATGGGTTTGGACAGCTGCTTGTCTGAGCCCCCATATTCTGGTATTGTACTTGATCATCCAAGATTATCATGACAACGAACAGTTCACAACTGGTTTGACTTTGCGAGAGCATTTGGCGTGACAATGGCTGGTGATGTTTGCAATCCCATGAGTAGCATACACACTCACAGCCCCCAACTGATCCCAGCCAACTCCCAAGTATACTCAACATTGAGGCAAAGGCTACACTGTTTACTATCAATGACATTCAAGCGAATGGAGGCGTTTTGAACGCTTCTCAGTCTTGCCTTTGGGAGTCCTTCTTTCTTGGGATGAATTGCAAAACTGCAAAACACTGCATCCTGGGGTAGCCAATGGTGGCTGCAGTTTGTTTCAGGGAAGCATGCCCACAGGGATTTTGAAGCACCCTTAGGAAACTGACACCCTCAGGTATTTGGCAGCATGTCCAGCACACATGGTTTCAATTGTTCACCAGATGTCCCACAACGCAAAAACAGCTCTGTGCTCCATGCTCACTGGTGCCAACTGCATGCTTTGGTGAGACAGCCAGCAGCAAAGCGCAAAGGACTAGAAGTCAAGGCATCAAAGCAGGAGGTGGGTCATGTTACACCGATCAGACAAATCCACCTCGATGAAGCACCCCTCGACCTTTTGGGGTGCAGATGTGTGTGGGATAATGTACGACGCTTGGATCCACCACATGCAGATCCATGGTGCTGCCCAAACACGTGATTCCTAGTGTGCCCTAACAGCTGAAGTCAGCGAGCTACAAAAGAGCACACCCTTGTCTATTTCCTGCAAATGACAATCTGTTCAGGTTGCACAACAATGGCGTTTGGTTTCGTCGCACTATCGAACCGAAGCGTCACCGGCCCGCACCCTGGGGCCACTGGTTTGTGCTG